TTATAGACATTGAACATTTAATATGTGTATATTATGGGAAAGTTTTGAAAAGCATGCAGAAACAATTTTGAAGTTATTTAATGTGGGCAATTAATGCCCTACAAAATATATATATTGGAAAATCCACATATATTGTTAAGTATATAAACTATAAATTGATTTAAAAGCTATATAATCTTAATTGATGTAGCCCAACATTCAATATAACCACAATTACGTCTGTTATCTATAAAATAATTTTGTCTGGGATGGATTAAATTTTTCAACATAGCTTTCAATTTCATCCTGTTTTCCTTGAATGAAATCAACTCACTCGTATTCCAAAGTTTGCATTGACTTGTATATAGTTGCATGCTGGGGGCATTTAAAATGGTCAAATAATCTAAGGGATTGTTCTTCACATGAAACATGAGAAAGGCCCACCAATTAATGTTTACTACTACCTCGACATCAAAAATTGTGTAAACTTAATTATCATACGGTTCTAAAGTCATCTCTCCCTTGTGTTAATAATATGGTTGATACTGACTATCAGCTATAGCCACTCATTTACTCGGCTGGTGTATTAATAGAGCTAATTTCCACGCCAGCCCAACCAGTAATCGCATCGCTTTACCTACAACCTCACGACGCCTCCCCTGCTATGTCCTTTGGTTGCACACCTTTAAAGCACGTCCAGGAAATCTTCAAATATTCTGGTCCGCTTTTTGTCCGATCTTTAGAGCAACCAAAACTGCCTTCGCCCCCTCCCCCCACTTTATATACTATTAGCAACGTTTTACCATACAACAATCGATGGTACGATGGTTTTGATCTTTTTGAAGCCACTTCATACCAGATCTGATACCAGACTTCCAGGTAACTTTTCCTTCATTTTCAAACTTTGTTAAGTAAAGTTCCTGACACTTTTACAATTTTTACAATTTTTTAATTCTCCCTCAATCTTTCTGTAATGGCGAACTTAAGCAAGGCTTAATCTAATACGGGGACGTGACAAGAGACCGCTTTAAATTTTACTCTTTTATAATTATAAAGAAGTCCTGTTATTAGAACCTCAACAAGCAGGACAAAAGTGCAACGAGGACGGCTAATAATATCAAATTACTACAATAAACGAACAGAAATTAGCAAGTAAAATCCCACGGGGCACGGGAGTTTTAGACATAGCCGCTGCTCTGTTTATAACGGCAAAATACAGATTATCACGTCTTATACAACGCTTATATTTCAAGCTGGGACAGCTGCTATTTTAAGTTGGGTCCTAGAACTTTTGCTGATTTTAAACCCTGTGTTCATACGATGGATAATAGACGACAGGATTTCTTCTGCAATTTTGGTTCAATGAGTTTGTTAGCGTCGCGTTCCCGCCCTACATGCTTAAGGTTACTTATTTATTAATTTCTAAAAATGTCCTTGTTTCACTTCGTTGATTATATATAGCTACTTCCGGTCACTTTTGCAACTTATATTGATTTAGTAATCAAAGGTTCAATTGAACAAAATATACATAATTATTTATATTAAAACTGGGCTTGACTAATATTTCAGTAATTCCAGTAATTTCCTAAGCGTGGCAGGCTCTCAGAAAATAGAGACAAAATTTAGAACAATGTTCGTAAATGATTCCCGTCGCATCAAATTGTAAGTCGGATCTATACTGCATTGCAGATAAGAACTGGCGAAAATGCATAGTAATTGTTTTTCAATCCTAGCTTCAAGCTAGGCTTTGAGTATTCGATAATTGGTGCTTTCTTCGATAGTTTTAATTATATAATTCAGTCTCATTGGGTAATTTCTCTAACTGTTGTTGGCAATATTAATGATAATTGTAAATTAAGGTAATATAAATTTAGCAGGGGTGCCTCTTCTAAACCCCTGGGGAAATTAAATTTAAAACTGTATATAGGAATTATGCATATATTTGTATGCACATGCAGGTTGATAACGACTTTTTTCCGGAGATGGTGTCAACTGTCAACTTTCTCTAAGCGGTACGCACTATACCACACGCCCTTTCCAAAATTTCAGTAAGACTGAAATGTGGAAGATCTTGAAATATGAAATTGAATATTGCACCTGCATCCCCAATTAACTCATCACATTTGAAGACAGCAAGCCTGTCAATTTCCACAATGTAAATAATATAATTATGACGACGGGTGTTAAATTAATCGCACTGCAGACTGTGTTTTGCAAATTATGTTTCAACGCAAAAACGTCGTATTTTCCTCTCTACACAAGAAAGCACTGAATATCGAAGCATGAATTTTACTTCAGATCAGTACGTGAAACGTTGCTCTGTCCTGGAAGGTACATCTGTCTCCATTATCCAATTTCCCTCCAATGCCTATGTGATCAACCAGATTATTGTATGTTTTCTGAATTGCCTGTTGTCAGTTGCAACTGTTTTGCTGAACGGTACTGCAATACTTACAATCTATAAATGCTTTCATCTGAAAGAGAAAATTTGCTACTTTCTTATTTATCTCCAGTCTATGGTTGACTTGATAACTGGAGCAGTCAGCATACCGTTGTTTACCTTCGTCCTAGCAAGTGAACTTGTGGGCACTGCCAACTGCGTTGTAAATTTTATTATTTCAACTGTGGCATTTATACCAATGGGATTATCTTTGGCAATGTTGTGTGCACTTAGTTTCGAAAGATATATGGGTGTTTTGCATCCAGTGGTTCATCGCACTCAAGTAACTAAGAACCGCCTTCTTGGATATTTCTGTTTTGTTACCTTGGCGATTCTTATAATGATGCTCATGTCACTTGCGTATGAAACCCTTTACTACGTCTTTGCTTCAGTAAATATATGCGTTTCGCTAATATTAATAACATTTGTTTATACAAGAATTTTCCTGGCAGCCAGAAGACGATTTCGTTCGGAGAATCGACCTGGCCATGGTTTAGTGGAGGTCAATCCAACCGAAATAAAGAAGAAACAACAATTCATCAAAGAATTTAAACTAGCCAAGTCTTGCTTTCTTGTGATCATCACATTTCTGCTGTGCTTTATGCCTGCGTTCATTATTTCTATCTTATCGGTCACTGTCAGCCCTGAAATGGTGCCTCGATTTCGGTTACTTCAGTCGTGGTCTATTACATTGGCCTTGTTCAACCACAGTATCAATTCAATCATCTTTTTCTGGACAAGACCACTGTTAAAGAGAGAAGCCAAGAATGTCTTAAAGAATATTTGTGCTAACAAATTTGTGATATAGAAACTCGTAAAATAACGATCTAGCAAAATTGGATAATGTATATTAATGTTAATACAGTATAGCATACTTAGTATGGACATCACTAGGCTACATCAGGGTCACTTATCGATATTTATATTAGCCACGAAGAAAGTATTCGACTAGCGCCCAAAGCAGGCAGGGGTATTTTTAACTTTATGCAGGCATGAGCCAATTGACATAATAAACCTGCATAAACCACCTATTTCTAGTTTATAATAATATCTATTTGATTCACCACTAACATAATTTACTGACATATTGTAATGTCATGCAGTATACATTATTTACATTGTGCCTGGCGGCTATATCATGATATAATGCACACTAGTGGCAAGAAAGCCCAACAAACAAACCATTTCGGTTCACTTAAAAACTCCGTTTCCTTAATTGAAACTGAGAAAGGAGGAAAAAGTATTCGTAATTGATCAATAGGCCCTATAAATATATCACAATTGATATAATCGAGTATAATCATTGTACGCACAGTTCATAAGTGATATTTTAACCGTCTTTGTTTTACTGAATTGAAAGGATAGAATAGCCGTTCAGGAGAAAGAGAATTATGCCTGATTTTGTTCCCTGAAATTGTGCTGAAAATTTTCTTATGGTTGATCTGCACAAACTGGAAGATAAATTTATTCAACGATCCAGTATTACAAGAATGTACCTTATTTAAAGTAAACATGCTCTTCAATTTTTTAGCAAAATCGACCGATTTAACTACGAAAATATCAATAAATTTAGTTGTAGGGGGTAAGTTCTAAAAATGAGATCAGTATACTACTATATTTAGTGCAAAAATATTGTTTTACGTCTTACACGCAACTGACGCAAGCAACTCTAAATTATTTTGGGGAGGACATGTCAGTTTTATGACATGGAAATGGAAGACGTAGCATAGAAGAATATTGATTCTAAATAAAGCCAGTCAGCCAGATATTAAAATTAGGAGCATTTCTTTATTTTTACTCTATATAATACAAAAACAGAACTATCCCACCCATCCTTTGATATTTTTCGAAAAAATCATCCGTCCAATTTCCACTCGTTTAATACCCATGGGCCATGTGCATTATACAGTCGGACATCCTAATAGAACAAGACTGAAGGAATACAGGAAGGTGCCCGCTTATGGACAGGTGTTTGATTCATACAGGTTTTTTAACAGATATATATATGAATATAGTGTGTCCACACTCCACAGGCATTCGAAACTGCATTCTAGATTCAATTCCGATCAATTCCGATTCCATATCAATTCCAATTCAAGCAGAAATCTAGAGAGACACAGACATAGTTCAATTTCCTTTCGAACGTTTAAGGTCCTACGCGAGATAGATATCTGCCAGGGTGCTTTGGTTTAATTTTGCTTTCTCATTTGAGCACAAATATGCGCAAAATTTAAAGTTAATGAGACGGCAATATGGTATGCGCCCACTGACTTACATGTATGTCGAAATCGATTGGGAATTTAATTTCTTGCCGCTGGCGCTGTGGAACGTTTCGGTCCTACTTTCGCACCAAACGACAGCTGCACTATGGAAAGGAAGAGAAAAAGATAAAAGTGTAAATAATGTTATAAAATAATTTTATGACTTCTTTCAAATGAGAGAAAACCGCTAACGTAGCTATGCGTGCGAAATACGATAGTACATGCAGTATACGTGTTCAAACTGAGCGATAGGAAGTATCATTTTTCATGGCCATGGCAACGATCATTCCTAATGTTCCTGAAATATAAACGAACCGGCATGTAAACAAGCTCCAACGCAAAATTATACACAGTGAGTTTGTAGGATCTGCTGTCTGTTTTGGGTTTATTTCTGACTATGAAATGAAGTTATTGTGGCTGTTATCTTACTTATAGTGCGATATGCCCACACGAATTGCCGATGGAATTAATTTTGAAGTAACTTAATCTTTAAATGAATTGATGTGTATGTGATGAGCGTAACATTGAGCGATGCTTCGCTGGTGAGTGCCTTAATGTAAAATCATAATAATTGCCTATTTGGGTTGCTTATCCCAGTAACCTCATGAATGTATATTAATTTACAATATGTAGGCTATATTATTCCATATAAATCGAGATATATATTTATTATTGACATAAAATGGGTTAAATTAACCCTCTTAACTTGATCGTTCAACACTAAACAGATGTAACCCAATGTATATTTGTGAAACATCAATAATTTATGAAGAAAACACAAAAGATATCATGACCGTGAAGAAGTTTGTATATATCTGATACAAAATTATGCTGATTTACATAAACTTTATAAGTTCATTTTTCTCACCAAATATCATTGATTATTATAAATTGTTGAAGAATACGAATGTTCTCATCAAGACGTTTCACAATCCATTTACAACATTCGCGTACGGCCGCTCATGCCTCATATTGTAAATAGTACACCACAGCTAATTAAAAAAGTTGTCCTTCAAAAATATCTTAAACCTTAAACATTGGGCGCGCAAGGTATGATGGGTAACGTCCTATTTAGAGTCTGAAACTCGGGAAATTTGCTTTGCAACAATGCTATATATAATGAACACGTTCGATGATTCCCGCATTTCTTTGTGTGCATGTTAACAACAAAACAATCTATACTCGTTCTGGTACTGAGCATGCAGTATAGTCAGGAGTTTTCTACGTTTTGTAAGGAATGAAATCCCAGAAATACTCGTAAATAGTTCTATATTATGAGTTTATCGTTCTAACATTGACTTTGTATTTCCGTGCGTCTGTATAGGAAGTGTGCCTTCTATTTACCTTCTATTCATCTTAATAAAACAAAGATATAGAGTCAGGCAATGTCCATCATTGCCGGGCAAATTTTTGCCCCCCCCCCCCCTACGCCTATGCACCGTGTATATATAATATATTTATTGACATTAAATATATATTTAAGCAATAATATTTAACAAATAACAAGGAAAACAAAATGTACAGGTATATTGTTATATTCTTGCAGGTAATGTGGTTAACCTTATATACTGAATAATTTATTATCTTCTCAGCACATCGCAAATTACACAGGCGTATATTTTTGTTACCTTTATTGTTCTTCTTTTGTATACCAAGTATGAGTTCTGCATTGAGGCGTTGTTGCTATAATTTATTAGTAACTGTATATGACTCCACAGCCAAAATTGCGGCACATAGGAGACTGTAAATAAATACGATATTGGCTCGAACTGTAATTGGTTTATTTTTTTTAAATATTTTATTCAATATATCCCTTTTACCATAAAATATGTTGGGTTGTATATGTGGGTCATGAATAATTAAACCTACAGTAACACACTCAAATTTCACTATACTGCAAGCGTATCGTGTAATCAACTTGAACACGTAGGCCTATATATGAATCCATCCAGGAAATTGTATATGTGAATCATAGATAAAAGTGCTAAAGATATGTCATTTTCTTTCAAACAGGGAAAAGCTGTGTCCGATACAAATGTCTTCATTGCAGCTAACAGAATATTGGGAAAATATTCTATTAACATACATGACAAGACAGATCAAAATGGGGAAGTTGAAAAATCTTCCACTAAAACTGCAACAAGACTAGCACCAAGGTTAAGATTGGATAGACTTGACAGGTCCATCGAAGTGCAAAATGCGTGCGAGTGCCTTGATATGGAAAATCCGGAGTCATTCAAAAGAAGCTGCAATTCTGTTGAAATTTCTCCTGCAACATTTTCATATCTTGTATACACCTTGTCAAGAAACGAACCCATTATAAATCTTCGAAATCTTGGAATCGGGCCAGCAGGTGCACTGGTAGTGATGCATAAGCTTGTGAAAGATAAACCAACCGTCACTGAACTAGACGTATCTTCGAATAATCTAGGAGACAGTGGTACTGTAACCATTTGTAATTTTTTAGCCACAAATGACACCGTTCTAAAGGTCGATTTGACCAGGAACTCTATCCAAAGAGTTGGGGCGAATGCTATCGCAAGCATGTTGGCTGAAAACAGAAAATTGAAAACGCTTGTTTTATCGCACAACGCCTTATCAGAAGAACATTTTGAACTTATTGCCAGCCAGTTACAGACTGAGCAGAGCTTAGAAAATCTCGATCTTAGTTCAAATTCCTTTACGTCAAAGTGCGGATATATTTTCAGTTGTCTTTTTGCGAAAAATATTTCCCTAGTGACGCTCAATCTCTCCTGTAATTACATCGGCGATGATGGAATACAAGATTTGATACCTGGATTAAAACAAAATGGAACCATCCGAAATTTGGATCTATCGTGGAATAACATAGGGGATGAAGGTGTTGCATGGATTGCGGAATTCTTGATCTCAAACAATGTTTTAAGCCACCTCAATCTAAGCTACAATCGAGTGAATACTAATGGTATAAAGTGGTTAGCTGAAAGTTTATCCATTAACGGCAGTTTAGAATTTTTGGAGCTCAGTGGAAATAGCTTGCACTCTCAAGACGCAGTCATGCTAATGGAAGCCATATTAGAGAATTCTTCGTTGAAACTTGCGCGTTTGTACTTGGGCGAAGTAACTAATTGCCCAGAATTTGACAAACTTTTTAATGAAATTCGAAGTAAATACAAAAAATTTGAAGTATTTGGAATGGTCAATGCGGTTGGACAAGTGATAAAATTAAGACCTCAGAGGAATCCATTGGATGTACTAGACAGCTATATTGCAAACAATAACTTATGCAGACCTGTTTCTTTCGCTGACTGATTGATACTACACTATTATTAAATGAGCAGTAACTTTGAGAGTGATATTTAAACTATACAAACTGGCGAATTGTTAGTAAAGGTGCACGCTTTCTCAGACTGCAGTTGCAATGATTGAGGAATGAGGAGTCTAACCTATCAATTGATTGAGGAGTTTAACACTAATATTGTTTAAACAGTCTCCTAAATTAATGGACCATTTGCATTATAGACTTAATTTTGGTCTAGACAAAAATTTTATCACAGCTTGAAAGAGCATCACAAAATTAGTAATATTCCAAAGTTTCGTTGCGAAATGTTGTAAAATGCGGATAATATAGTCTTGCGAAATTTGCAATTTTCAGTCATTTTGTATTACAAACGGGAAATTGATGCCCCAACACCCGATTGGGCTGTCAATTTCCCGTGCGTAATACAAAATGACTGAAAAACGGCAAACTTCCCAAGGCTATATTATCCGCATTTTACAACATTTCGCAACGAAACTTTGGAATATTACTAATTTTGTGATGCTCTTTCAAGCTGTGATGAAATTTTTGTCTAGATCAAAATTTAGTTTATAATGCAAATGGTCCATTGGGCAGACCATTCTTTTAATTCAGAGTAAAGTATTATTTGAAAACTCACCTATGCATTATGACTGAACATTCCACAGGCGTACGGGAGGAAAAGAAACAGGGGGCGGACAAGAATTTGCCCAACCTTCATGGGAATTGCCCGGCAATTTTTTTTCCTGGTATAAACTAAAAATCCATTTTCCAGAAGATTGAACTAAAAATATTTCAGGTACCGTATTTACTCGTTTAAGCGCCGCGGCGCTCTTTAAATTTTTGGAGCTTCAGATGCGGCGCTCATTCGGGGGCGGCGCTCTTTAAAAAATATTGTATTTGTGAATTATGACAAGAACTTTTAACTGTAAAATAGACAAGTTTTAAAAGGTTTTTGTCACTAAATGTCCCAATTTTGACGCGGAAAGTTTTTACACTGTTTAGTGCGGCGCTCATTCGGGGGCGACGCTCTTTAAAAAAATTGATCTCAAATGCGGCGCTCATTCGGGGCATAGTTAATATAGAAGACCCGGGGGCAGCGTTCAATCGGGGGCGGCGTTCAATCGAGTAAATACGGTATTTTTTACCACCAATTTTGCCATATTATAATTTGTTCATTGTTCAACCTTTGTAAATGTGTCAAAACAGCAACTCTTTGTAGCCGCCAGGGAACATTACATCATTGTAAAGTAACACGTCGCTGATTAGTTATACACGAAAACATATCTGCGGCAGACTGTAGTGCGGAGCAGATATTAAAACGCCTTTGAAAATGGTCATATGCACAATTACAGAACACACAATTACATATGCACAGATGGTACTTAGCACTCGTTTTTAGTGCAGAGTTTCTTTGAAACTGTGCACTATTGTGATGAGTGGCGAAAATTCACATCTGTCTTACATCAGATATCATAGAGTAAACTTTCCGGGGGGTGTATACGATTTATCGTCGTGGTGATTTATTCTACTTAGTCAGTGCTTTGAAGGTTATTTAGGCAATTTCAGTTGTCTTTTTTAAATACTTATTTTGTCCTTTTGCCAAGTTCACAAAAATTTCCAGGAATTGTTGTTATTGCAAATTTTTGTCAATTTTATAACATTTGCTTCTCCGTGTTGTGTGAAAGATCTTTCCCCCGGAACACCCATTTTTTCTTTAGCAGCGCAAATGCGCATGTGCTATCAAGCTGTAGATCACGATGGCGTGACGAATGACGATGCTAGGAAGGAGGGACACTGCCGAACAGTGTTGTTTTCAAATTATAAACATTTTTATAGACGTGAATATCGAGTAAATCTTTGAGAATCTACGCAATATGTAAATTGATGTTATGACTTATGCATTATGGGCATTCAATTAAGTACCGATATTATTTTGACGGTATATTCAATTTCAATATACAAAGCTAGGAAGCAGCGAGACAGTGTTGTTTTGTCTTTTGAAATGTATGAACATTTCAGGCATGAATATTGAGAAAATCTTTCAGATTCTACGCAATATATAAATTGATTTTTTGCATTACGGTCATTCTATTAAGTGCCGACGGTATATTCATTATACAGAGCTAGGAAGCAGCGAGACCGTGTTTTCAAATGTATAAACATTTCAGACATAAATATTGAGAAAATCTTTGTTTACGTGTATAGCACAACGGTGCAAACTCGTGTTCAGTGCAACGAAAACTCTACCAGATCTTACGAGAATCTATCTGTATCAAAGCTTGTCAAAACTGCTATATAAACACTGCAATAACTGTGAAACTATTGAAATCTAAAGTTACATTATTGAATACATGCGAAAAGCTGAAAATGACTCATGAAACAACAACGTGACCTTCGAAATATATCAAAGGTCAATGAGACTTGTTATTGTGAACACGTCATAATTAGATTAAAATGCGGAAAGCGGATGCGGATTCACGGAACGGATATGGGGATAAAATGCGGATGAAATGCGTCATTTTAATGAGTTTTTCGCCTCTTATTTACGTTTCTGTGTTTTAGATTTATGTTCCTTTTTTGTAATGGAATACAACGTCGTAGTGCTTATTATTTATAACATATCTTATACAGCTATTTTCTCAAGTTGTCACTGAGACAAAAGCCAAAGTGTACAATATGGGCGCTAAAAGGATGGTGGGAATAATCACAGATTTAAACAAGTCACCTAGGTTGCCGGCGACCCTATATAGTGTCGTTTTCAATTGGAAACTTTACAACATTATAACAGAAATTATGCCTTGTGACTAATATTATATGAGGAAATAAATAATATTACATAACTCTCGTCATTCTTTAATCTTAAAGTATTAGATTTAAACCAGATCTTAGCATTTTTACTGTTGTAACAGTCACGCGCGCTACTACTGTACGTCATATCGACATGTGATTAAAGCTATAAACCACGCTTGAAAAACTATTCAATTAATAAGTATGTCAATATAGCGTTCGTCTTTGAAACTCTGCACTATCCTTGGATCCCTAGTTACCGCCTACGAGCATCCGCAAGTTGGCTATATAACACAATATGTGGGCGTATATATATGAAATCTTAACACGAGCTTGTTATCCATGCGCATTATGTGCATTTCAAAATATAACTTAGCGTATTTCGATAGTTTAGCACAGCAGTCTATTTTAGGGCGAGTTTTAAGCGTGGTATTAAAACAATCACAAATACTACAACAGTAATTCTCTCTGTGGGGTATGTGAGAATCATAATATCTTGTGGGAAAAATTTCTGAAATGCCAACTATGTGTAAACTTTATATCGATTAGAGTTTAAAAACTCCTGTGTCACAGCATTTACTAATTCGACTCAATTGCAATGTTTTGTCAGCCTTGTTATGCATCAAATACTTGCAAACAGTCAATAATATATTGGCTCAATAATGCTTGAATGCAGCTAAAAATCCATTTTCCAAAAGATTGAACTAAAAATTTCTCAGGTATTTTTTTACCACCAATTTTGCCATATTATAATTTGTTCATTGTTCAACCGTTGTAAATGTGTCAAAACAGCAACTCTTTGTAGCCGCCAGGGAACATTACGTCATTGTAAAGTAACACGTCGCTGATTAGTTATACACGAAAACATATCTGCGGCAGACTGTAGTGCGGAGCAGATATGAAAACGCCTTTGAAAATGGTCATATGCCAATTACAGAACACACAATTACACATGCACAGATGGTACTTAGCACTCGTTTTTACCGCCTACGAGCATCCGCAAGTTGGCTATATAACACAATATGTGGGCGTATATATATATGAATTTATGAAATCTTAACACGAGCTTGTTATTCATGTGCATTTCAAAATATATAACTTAGCGTATTTCGATAGTTTAGCACAGCAGTCTATTTTAGGGCGAGTTTTAAGCGTGGTATTAAAACAATCACAAATACTACAACAGTAATTCTTTCTCTATGGGGTATGTGAGAATCATAACTGAATATCTTAATTGTGGGAAAAATTTCTGAAATGCCAACTATGTGTACACTTTATATCGATTAGAGTTTAAAAACTCGTGTGTCACAGCATTTACTAATTCGACTCAATTGCAATGTTTTGTCAGCCTTGTTATGCATCAAATACTTGCAAACAGTCAATAATATATTGGCTCAATAATGCTAGAATGCAACCTAAGAATACGCATTTGTAGACTGGACATAATTGAGAAATACATGTTGCCGAAGTTTTACTTGTATTTTTCTGGTAGCTGAATCCCTCTCAATCCGCAGCTTTCTGGCGGTATTGTCACTACCTATACCCTGTTTATTGACATAATTGACTTTATTTCTATGCTTTATATATACAAACAAGTACGATCGTACTATAGTGGACCAGGAACTGCATGACCCAGTTTCGATCTTGTGCAAATCGTTAAATGTTCAAAACCTTCGAGATTTTGACTTGATAAACAAATAACTAGACACTTGTATCTCTAATAATTCTCAAAATTGCATGGCAGCGTAGACTGAGTTCGCTAAATGTTTTGCTTTAATTTGGACATGCAAGATATACTTTATCCAACCTGAAAAAAGCAGGGAAAGTCATGACTACCGATCACCATGATCGGGAACTTTGGGAACGTTATTTCAAGCCCTGCATGCATGTAAGAATACAAATTTACAATGACATGTATCGAAAGGGCTTACACAGTTACAGTAGATCAATAGGACTTATGACGCTTCACAGCACACCATGCATATTTTGCAAAAGTCTAGTTATGGTGTGTATAAATGAGTGTAAATCTGGACAAAGCATAGATAACTAAATGCGCAGTTTTCAAAAGTAACTCATATACTCGCATTCGAATTAGATAGATAAGTTAAATGTCCCACAATATTAAGACTAAACATGCCGTGTCTAAATTTAACTTTTGCCGTAACAAATTTTGCCGTGCCGTGCGTGCCATTGCAAAATATTGCAGTACAGTCGTGTACGTGCCGTGTAAACGGGACTTAAGTTAAGCTAACAAATTATCTGAATTGTTGCTATATGTTAATACAGTTCATTTCGCTTGGTAATGGGTTCATAACTGCATGCTTGTACTAAAAACAAATTGACATGTCTTTGTTTTTATGGTTCGCGATTTTCCGGCTATGCATGTATGATAGTCAGATAGGAGTATAGTTATACACCTCTGGGCTTTGAGAAACCAAGCCAGCGTGTTAAATTAGTCAACTTAAGTCTTAACGCTTATAATTAATTCGTTATAATTAGTCGTCCACATTCTTGAGAAGCTTTAGACTATTGTGATTGTGTTCACAACGAACAATAGAAAAGACAATGTCTTTCTTATCATTTGCGTTTGCTGATATATTTGCTGAATATTAATGATATGTATATATTAATTGCTACGCATACAGTCAAAAATTGCTTGTATTTCGCTTCTAAAGTCAAAAATGAAAAATCGAACACCGTCAATCGATGCGGAATATTGCTTACAATAATTATGTCAAGTTTCATTCCGATCGGACAAGTAATGACGGAGCCTTAGGGTTTTTTTCAAAGAGCGTCGCCCCCTAACAACAACAACAACAACAACAACAACCACATCATCAACAACAACAACAACAACAACAACAACAACAACAACAACAACAAGATTAGCAGCGATTGGGGACCAGTTCCTGGTCCAACAAACATTCTGTTACAGTTTTTCCGTTACAAAAATTTTGTTACAGATATTCTGTTGCAAATTTCTGATTCGAAATAGAAAGACACGTTGACAACATTTATAACATTTAATTTTGCATCATTATTAACCAGGTGAACTCGGAAAAGGTCTGGCACTAGTTGTAAAATAGAAATCCATTTCTGGTTTAAAATTACTCTATATCTCCGATTAACGGTATTAGATTTATATCTCAAATTTGTCCCAGTTATTCATTTCCCTGTGCAAGACACAGACACAAAATTTCAAACAGTTTCACAAAAGAGTCAGGGCGTGACAAGTGATTAAAGGTACAAAACTGGATTTCTATTCCGTTGCTAGTCTCAGCTCTTTTGCTCACCGTCAGATGACCTGGAAACAAAGATTATATGAGTTATCATTCAACCGATTGTTTATTTGTGGACTTTCCTTGTATAATAACTTCAGCAACAATAGTGCTCGCGGCGGCCCTATTGATCAACCTGTCAAATTTCATCGTTTTTAAATTGTTTAAAATGCAGCATGCGTTGGGGCGCGATTATACCTAACTTTAGTTCAAGGTTTAAAGAAAGAGTTAAGGCCATTTCAAACAGTCAAAAACCCATGTATACTAAATTTCAGATTAAAATATTAAAGATGGTTCCGAAAAAAGTGCCACTTGTGTTGGAATGCCGTTAGAGGCTAAGCGCTAAGCAAACACACTAACAATAGTTTAGTTTTTTCTCTCCTTAGATCACTATATGTAATGCAGTCTCGTGAGTCAGGTACATTATTCACCCAATTGATATAGATATGTTTTCGACGATAATTAATAAAGGCACTAAAATACTTTTCATAAAATTTCGTACCATCAAGGCAAAAAAATGCGATACAAAAAGTGTTGGCCGGCATCCTGATTAATCTACAACCAAAATGCTTTGCGGTCGCTATACGCATACCGCCCAGTTAATTAACTCCAGTGATCAAGTTCTATGATTTGTCGAAGCCAAATTTGAAGCCAAGCGCGGGAGCCGCGCGGATAAATTAACTTCCAAAAGGACTAGGGGGAGTTTCGAGGAGCGGGAAATTCAGTCAAAAGTTTGTTTTTGAGCGAAAATTACCAAGAAAAAGTACTTAGGTTTCCTGGACAGTTCTAAGTATTTTACATCCACTAACAGCAAACACGTCCTGGGTAACAGTTTCCTATTCAAAATATTACACAAGTTTGAACGTGCCGAAAAAAACTTCGCACTTTGACTCCTGAGAAAATAACCTTAAAACTGCTCTATGTTCTGGAAACATGTTTTGTATTAAATTTCAAGTATCGTTGAAAGATTTTAGCTTTTTTCCTTGTTGAAATACAGCTATTTAGTGCTCAAAAACAGATGTCTTTTCGGCTGCGTATTTTCGATGCCTAATTATGTACATGGCGCGGGCCATCATGAGTTGCATGGCTTCAAAGATGGCGGCCAAATTATCGTTCCAGTTCCACTAAAGTTCACTGATACCGCCTGACTCAATGGACCATTTGCATTATAGACTAAATTTTGGTCTAGATAAAAATTTCATCACAGCTTGAAAGAGCATCACAAAATTAGTAATATTCCAAAGTTTCGTTGCGAAATGTTGTAAAATGCGGATAATATAGCCTTGCCAAATTTGCAATTTTCAGTCATTTTGTATTACAAACGGGAAATTGATGCCCCAACACCCGATTGGGCTGTCAATTTCCCGTGCGTAATACAAAATGACCGTGAAAAACGGCAAACTTCGCAAAGCTATATTATCCGCATTTTACAACATTTCGCAACGAAACTTTGGAATATTACTAATTATGCCGGAAATTTAAGATTGTAGAAAAATTTGTCTCGTAACATAGCCTTTATGAATGTTTCCCTTAGAACTCCCTGGCCAGACAGTTGAACAATAAAACAGCTTGTTAAAAACTGAAGTGCTTAAAATAACAGCGACTTTTTATAACTTTTTTTGATGAATGATGGAAAATTTGCTTTGTAAATGGTTAGTTTATTTTGAAAAATTGCTTTTAACATTGTTATAATTATTGGCATTGGTTAACGAGAATTAAATGCCACCCAAAAATGGCGGATATTCGTCATCGTGAGAAAGGCTAATTGAATGCGTTTTCAACAAAACGTAGTTTTCATCTGTTCCTTCTACTGAAGAGAAAAAGAACATCGAAGAATGATTTCACAGTTCGTGAAACGGTGCTCGGTCCTGGAAGTTACATCTGTCTCCATTGTCCAATTTCCCTCCAACGCCTATGTGATCAACCAGATTAATTATTGTATGTTTTCTGAATTTCCTGTTGTCAGTTGCAACTGTTTTGCTGAACGGTTCCGCAATACTTACAATCTATAAATGCTTTCATCTGAAAGTGAAAATTTGCTACTTTCTTATTTATCTTCAATCTATGGTTGACTTGATAGCTGGAGCGGTTAGCATACCGTTCGTTGTTTACCTTCGTCCTAGCAAGTGAACTTGTGCATGATACTGCCAACTGCGTTGCAAATTTCATTATTTCAACTGTGGCATTTATACCAATGGGATTATCTATGGCAATGTTGTGCGCACTTAGTTTTGAAAGATATATGGGTGTTTTGCTTCCATGCAGTTGTTCATCGCACTCGAATAACAAAGACATCTCTGAAAACGTATCTTTGTCTTAATGCTGTTGCGATCATCGTCATGATAGCTTGTGTATCCAAAACTTTATTTCGTCTTTTGGCACAGTAAATATATGTATTTCGCTAACCTTAATAGCATTTTTTTACACAAGAATCTTCCAGACAGCCAGAAGAAGATTTCGATTAGAAAACCGACCTGGTCATACTTTTGTGGAACATAATCCATCCGAGAAAAAGAGGAAACAACAATTCGCAAAGGAAATCAAAATAGCCAAGTCCTGCTTTCTTATAATTGTTGTATTTCTGCTTTGCGTTATGCCTGTATCCATCGTTTCTGTTTTATCTCCTAACGTCAGCCCAAAAATGTTGCCGCGTGATTCAGTCTTGGGCTATTACAATAGCCTTGTTGAATCACAGTCTCAATTCAATCATCTTTTTCTGGACAATAGCAATGCTGAGAAAAAAGGCGAAAAATTTCCTAAAGAAAATTTTTGCGAAGTGATCTTTGATTTGGAAGAAAACGCCTTGTTAAATTCGGTGGGATAATTCATTGCGAAAGCTGTATGAAGACGCATTAAAATCTTGTCGAGGAAAAATAATGTAAATAATAAGTTAGATTTTAAGATAGTTCGTGAACAGCATAATTATTCCCACTCTTGTGGCTGGTCAGAATTTTAACTATAGTATTTTAACTTGATAGTCTTATTGAAGAATTACGTGACAGCCTGCAATGACTGAATTGCGTAATAAGTATTTAGGCTACGTGTGAAAAATATAATATAATAATACAACAAAGAAGATAACAATATTCAATACATTACTATAATTCTGTATAGTATGCGTGTCAATAAAAGTGAAGTATATATTTCGTCGTTATTATTCCCCAAATAACTATAGGCAGAGAACTAAACAGACACTCCTGAAAGTTATGCGAATAATTTTATCCATGCTTGCATATTAACTGGAAAAGCTGCCGCATATATATGCATATATGCATATATGCATATAAATATATATATATATATATATATATATATATATATATATATATATATATATATATATATATATATATATATATATATATATATATATATAGTTTGATTACAGACTGCTATATTTCCAGTTACCTTTGATGCCTCACGAATGTGGGACATCAAAACCATGCCAGAGCGCTCAAATGCAAGCAGTGAGCGTGCGTAAGCGGCAATGGCTCATCCTGCATGTAGAGCGCTCAATATGACCTAAAGGCCATAGAGCGATATCTAACTACAGACGGTACCGTTTCGGCCTTATGGGCCTCATCAGTGTAGTGCTGATGAGCAGGATGAAAGTAACTGCTATTTACAGTTACCTTTGATGCCTCACGAATGTGGGACATCAAAACCATGCCAGAGCGCTCAAACTGCAAGCAGTGAGCGTGCGCAATGCGTAAGCGCGGCAATGGCTCATGCCATTTCCGCTTACGCATTATATATATATATATATATATATACGGTATATATATATATATACGGTATATATATATATATATATATATATATATATATATATATATATATATATATATATATATATATATATATATATATATATATATATATAATATATAAGATATATAAGTATAGAACTTATCGACGTTTGAAGTGAGGGCCATTCGTCTCACCAACGGCCCTGCGAGTCCGGTGCAGCGCTCTAACCAACTGATCATGAGTCCAGTTGTCGAGCTCAAACCCTAAATTACACTGAAGAGTTATAAAGAGTTACAATTTTCATTCGCAATCGAAGGCCCCGCGCTTTTTAAAAACTGTTATTTAGATCATCACATCGGCTTAGTCAGGTTTTATCCCAATTTGGAGAACAAGTAACATCTCGGTAGTGGATGTACAAGTATGAATATCGATGCCCATGCAAGCAACAGCAAATGATTTTCAGATAAAACATGACGAAGTTCTCTAAGTGTTAGTGCTGCAGGTTCATTGGTGATGTCGCAGCATTATTAGAGTTAATAAATAATGCGACAACAGCTGTATATGTACAGGCACATGCACTACGTGACTACGAATTACTAAACCCTCCGACCCGGAGTTATCAGCAGTTTTTCGTGAGTCAAACTCAGGATATAGATTCATGTTTCGCTATTTTTGAGTTATGGTTAGCGGTTTGGGTCAGGGTTATTTATGAGTTAGGGTTAGCGGTTTGGGCGGTTCAGCGTCTCAATTTGACCATAGCGTTTTTGATGAAATCAACATGCGTGGCCCAAGGCCACGCCCTTCCTAGGGGGGTTAATGGGGCATGCCCCCCAAGAAAATATTTGAAATTTGAAGCCCGCAAGTACCATTTCCTGCATTCTGAGCATTGAAATTAGATTTAAAATTTGTGGAAAATGCCTCTTTTTCACACCAAAATAAGAAAAAAACGGACAAAAGTTACAAAATTTATCATCAACATACCACTTCGAACAACAAATTATATTGAAAAAGCAATATAAGAGTAGTTCGAAAGTTTTCAAATGTATATCATCTTGAAACAGCGGCCCAACGACAGTTAGGGAAAATGTTTATCTGGCTAAACAGCAGCATATATAGATCATCCCGAAACAGCGGGACAACTTACGGCAGTTAGGAAAAATATTTTCTGTACTGTATATAGATTATCTCCAAGTTAGGAAAAATGTTTATTTGGAGATCATCTTGAAACAGCAGCACAACGGCAATTAGGAAAAATGTTTATTTGTAAATGTTTACTTGTATTAAAATTCGCGCGCTACTGCAGGAATTCGCGCAGAGCTGGGTGCGCAAATGTTAGTACTGCGGGAAATATAATCCGCGCAAAAAAATGTTCACAGACCATTTAGCTATTATATTTCGCACGTGCGGTCTCGATGCAAACAGGTACAAAGGACATAGTTTTCGCATCGGCGCGGCTACATTTGCTGCCGAATGCGGTTTTTCCGATGCCCAAATACGACTAATGGGCCGTTGGAAATCCGACGCTTTCCGCAAGTATATTCGTGCTCCTAGTTTGTGACTTAAATCAGACACTCCGACTATACAGGTCGGGCTTTTTGTAGGGATTGATTGTGGCTGCTTGTTGATAAACCCGTTTAGTAATTAGTACACTTTGTCAAGTCGACGCAAGGGCAAGACTTGATATAATATAGGAATGTGCGTGTTAAGATACTAGAAATGTACGTGTCATTTAATCACTGTTTTACGTTCTCTGTGAGGCTAACGCATGGGCAAGGCTTCTACACAACCGTTCGCTTTAGCAGGTTGGCCGTCCCCTGGCAGTTTAACGCATGGGCACAAACTGTCGGCGGTCGCTTATCATGTTTTTGCTTAATAATGACAGTAATAATCCACGCACTGATTTCGCTTTG